GGACCTGACATCCAGGCTATCTTAACCAATCAGAAGCCTTCCTTCCTGGCTTCCTGGGATGATTGACAGTTGCTATGGACTGAGACCCTGAGGTCCTAAACCAACAACAATTTGGAGCTTCAGTGAGCAGAGACCCTGAAGTGGTGGCTCCGATATTAGTAAGTCCAAATACCCAAGGGAAGTCATAGAAACCGAGCCCTGTGATTTCAGGAGGAAGTTGTGTTTAGATTTGGCATATCTGAGTGAAGCAATGTTTACAAAATTTCCTCAATGAACATCAGAAAGTCTTTTCTCTTAAAGTGTCAATGAAAGCTCTTTCCCTTAGACACAGTCATGTCATGTGTAGTCAGCCAATATAAACACAGATGCCTTTTCACACATATTTACCAGGTCTCCCGACAGTCTCTGTCCATGTTTTATGAAGGTGCCCTCTCACAGACACACTCTAACTTGTCCCTTGCACAGCAACGTAACCTACAGAAAAGGAAAGCCTCATCTAATTGATAGGAAGGCCAGTCAGAACCTGAGCCAGGCATGTGGTCACCTAGAGGATGCCTCAACAGAATCTAACCCTGCAGCTGGATACACATTTGTGTAGCAGTTTCCTCCAAGATAAGACATTCCATTTGGAGGAAAGCTCCTGAAGACATAAGACATTCCAAATGGAGGTGAAACATTTCATAACATGGAGGAGATGGTTAAGAAACAGGAAGTAAAAGGCTGGATAGCTCCAACCAGCCTTAGTAGATGTTTGTTCCTGATTCCTCCTGTGTCCCCAGGAAGACTGTCAGCAGCACATCTCAGTTCCCCATAACCTAGGAGCACAGGATGAGAATCCACAGTCAGCTGAGACACAAGATGCCATCCTCAGGTTCAGTTCACTGAGCATCAGCCCCAGTGAAAGAATGAAGGCACTAGATGTGGCAGCCAGGTACTGGAGCAGGTCAGCAGAAAACACTCTGTACCTGGAAGATTGGTGGCAAGTGCCCGAATGGAACACAAGAAAGTCATCTCTTGCTGGAACATCCAATGTGGAGCCTCAGGACCCTTCCTCCTGATGCCTCCAGGTCCCCAGTGAACCCATCTCTCTCTCTCTCTCTCTCTCTCTCTCTCTCTCTCTCTCTCTCTCTCTCTCTGCTTCTCCATGTGTGATCCCCACCATGAGCCCTTGGGGATTATCCCAAGAAAAAGCTGATTGGAAAATACCATCCAGAAGTCAATTAGGAGCAGAGGCCGTGGTGGTAGTGGCAGCTGCAGCAGTTTGTGTGTGTGGAGGACTGGGGGTGTGGTCATGAAGGAGGAGGGAGCCTCACTGGTGTAGGAACTCTTCTTCATACAGAGAAACAGTGGAAGCCAGAAACAGCCAGGGACTCAGGCTCCCTGGAGACAATCTGAGGCCCCTGGAAACCAATGCTTTCACTCCACCCTTACAAGACCGAGAACAGTTTTCAGACTATTCCAAAACCCATGGGACTGTAGAATAAGCACTGAGCTCAATGCAGCCTACACAGCCTGGGGCCAGGGGCTGTGCTCAGACTTTATTCCTCCTTCTAGAGTCCCTTCCTGCTCTTCCTGACCAAAGACAAACAGGGGATCCAAGGCTGCTGGGCCTGTCAGCTTGCACATCACCATGTACATCATATCTCCTGGAGAGCTCAGGGTGGATTTTCTTTGCAGTAGGTGATGGTTAGTACAGAGACCCACAGTTGGTCCATGTGCACCAACACACAAGAGAAGGTAGAGCTCTCATGTGTAATGGGACATCTCTGTCATATCGCTTGCTCTCAGTCATAGGGGCCATGAGGTTGACTGGTGGACGATACTTAAAGCTAGAGGGAGTGGTTATCTGTTCTGAAATATTATTTGCTAGACCTGAAAAGGGGTTACCTCAGTTTCATAGCCATAGATAGAGCCCTAGTGAAATTCTGATACCTGTTACTACAGCAAGGGCTCTCAAATCAGCGTGCTGGGAGACATCATAAAGACTCAAAAGGAAACTCGCAAGTAACTGCAGCAGGCAAGGTCCCTGGAGCACTCACATTCCCAGAGACTGAATATAGACTAAGGATTGCAAGGGTAGGAGAGCAGGGTATTAGGACAACACCATGCAGTAAGTTTGGGTCTGTACACCTAGGCCATAGCTCTCCATCTCACTAAGATGAACTTTCTGTATCTGGACCTGTAGCTTCACATATGCAAAGAAGCAGTATTACTCTATGCACAGACTGACTGTTTCAGAACATTGCTAGGGACTCAATCTTGTTTACAAATTAGAGCTGCTATGAAGCAAAGGTCCCCTAAATCTTGATTACTGAGGGTTCTCCAAGGCAGGTGACAAAATGCAGAGAGAAGACATATTAGTCAAGATCTCTGAGCAGGCTAGGGTGAGTCCATATGCTCCCTGACTTGGAATGGAAGAAATGAGGCAGAATCCTCCCTGTGATCTGGATGGATTCTCCTCTCCATCTCAAGTATCAGGACTCTGGCCAGTGTGGCTCCTAGTGCCCTGGATGTCCACAGAGAGGGTGCAAACCACACATCATGTACCCCTTCCTCCCACTGTCAAAGTTTCCAGCTGGGTCTAAGGTGGGACTTACTGGAGTGTGGATGTGAACAGCCATGACTAGAAACACAATGTCCAGTGCTAGGGACTTGACCAACCTGACATTATAAATAATTGTTCCACAGAGGTGGAGTGAGTTGACAAGACCATGATGAGTGTGGGGAAAATCATGTGGCGTCAGCATGAAGCAGCATAGCACCTGGAAATCATCATCACTTCACACATCACAGTGACCATAGCGTGCCAGTGTCTCTTCCTGCCATAAATGCCATTTCTGGAATAGGCTAATGTGGTTCAAATACTTACACCCACATTTTAGTAACCTCAAAAACAATGGAACCAACATACTTAGAATCCACCTCTTTATTGCTGAGATAACTGCAGGGAAGAAAGGGATGTCATGGCCAGCATGAGTGGCCAAGAAATTGGGGGCAGGACCAGGTTCCAGGTCATCTGGCTCACAACAGAGGTGGTACTCATGCGCTGCTCCAAAATCTTCAGGGATCATTGATCTGGCGACCAGGTGGTGCATCAATCAGCACCACCAGTCTATTGCTTCTCCTGAAAATGGCTCTCCTGTTCCTAAACCATTCCTACAAGCAGAAGAAAGGGTTGCTTTAGTACATTGAACTGTACCACCACTGAAGAACACATGCTGTACCCTTGTATACTGGCTCAATTTTACTAACATTTTAGATCATATATGGATTCCATCCCTGGGCCAGTGTGTGCTAGGTATGTACTCCAGGACAGAGCTACTCCCCTAGAAAAGCACCACATTTCTGATTGCCCAGGAAATGTTTATCTATCTAACCCCAAGAAAGACTGAAGACTTACCTCAAGTGTGTACTGATTGTTCAGAATGCTGGAAGCAACAGGTTTCATTCTCATTGAAACAGTCAAAACACCCCCATGAAGACCCTGAATTCATGTACCCCCACACCCATTCCTTCAGATATGGGACAGACCCAGAATATTGCCTCTTATGTCCACTGATATTTTTAATGCATTCTTCCAGGAAAGGATGCAGGTCTAGCTCGTGAGTTGTTCCTGGTCCTTGATTTGTGTTGAAAAGTATCAAAAAAAGTTCTCTTGGAACCCAGGAGAACTATCTCAAGGCCCAAAGCTGTCTGTGAAAGGCTCCATGGTGATAGCCTTTTGTGAGTATCCAGAATGCACATTTTATGAGACAAAGGGCACTTCTTCCTGTTCTATGCTTCCTTCCTAGTCTCCAAGCATACTATCTATAGGCCTTTTCCCTTGTGGGCATGCGGTCTGGAAAAGACAGGGCTGATTGTAATGCTGAGCAGAGTTCACATTCATAAGCAACAAAAGACAGGTAAAAGGTCTATGCGCCATTTGAGGTTCCTGGTCCCAGTATTGGTTCAGAACTAAGCCAGGAATGTGACATTTACAGACTAAAACAAGAAGTCTGGGAAAAGGTTTTCTGAGACACTCAGAGTGAAAGAATTGAAAGTGGACAAGAACATGGTCTCTTCACTTAAGTGAGGCATGCGGCTGCACAGTCTTCATAAGGTCATGGAGAACACACTATGTTCACCAAGGTTCAGACAAAGCACCTTGGCATGTTATGTTTTCTGGTGTCCAGGTTTGCATTTCCTACCTGAGAAAATGGAGGCCTTTCGTCATCTTGAGACTAGCCTGGGTGTGGACTTGTCTGGCATCCTTAGGATACAACTTCCGGGTCCCACTCTTTTGCTAAATTATCATCTAGACAACAACATCATAAGATGTGGAGCCCTCCCAGACTATTATTATTTTTAGAATACTGACCAGCACATCTTCTTCTGGCACACCCATCCATCTTGCAAGATCCTTCCTGAAGTGAAAAGATTCCAACAATTAGTTTTGTGTTAGAAATAACCTGTATAAGAACATGTCCTGTTTCCTTTTAAATGTTTGTATCCACACTTGTGTGTACACACATGTGTACACACACACACACACACACACACACACACACACACACACACTATTCCTCACACCTACTTTGATACTTACTTTAGTAACAAGTTTCTTTCAGGGACCAAAATTAAGGGTAATCCCCCAAACACAGGTACCTTGTTGATGTACTTAAAATGTAAAACTTTATTAAGAGAGCTTTCACGATGAGAAGTGTTAGCCAAATTTTAATCTGAGGTGGAATCCTTCCTGCATTTTCTCAGCCACACCTCAGGCTTCTTTCTCATACTTACAGAGACTTATTTAGAACAAGCATTGTCTAAATTTCTCACTCACGCGCCACTTAAACAGGCAACAAAGCACATTCTTTCCAGTTGGACGCGGGCCCATCCCCCTACACTAGAATCCAATTTCTGCTGGAGGGTCCAGACATGGTGGCTTTGTTTCTAGAGGAAATGAGGGGTTCAGGGAGCACCAAAAGGCAGCCTGGACGCGCTGCCTGAAAACCAGGCACCTAGCAGGGCATTCTGCTTACCTTGCTCTCAAGCTGGGGTAGCGATTCTCTTTGAAAAGACGCTCCAGATCCTGCAGCTGAGACCTGGTGAATCTGGTGCGTCTACGTAAAGGCAGCCTGTCTCCAGCCTGGAGATGATTGATGCCCTCAGGCATTGCCGCCTCTTGCTGAGGCTGTTGGTGAACACCGCTGCCATGACCACCTTCTGCGGGGATCCCCTTGTCCATGGGGCCAGAACTACCATCGCCAGCATGTGCTCCTTCCATTTCTTCTTCTTCGTTTTCTCCCTCCTCTACCACTCCTGTGGCTTCCTGAGCAAGACTGGACTGAGCAAGCTCTTTTTGAGCAGGCTTGCTTGGGGCAAGTTCGCTCAGAGCAAGTTCGCCCTGATCAAGCTCACCCTGCGCAAGCTCGCTCTGTACAAGCCCTTTCTTTCCTCCTTCCTCTCCAGCCTTCAGGACCACTGCATTCCCACCTGCAAGAGAGAAAAAAACACAAAGATAAAGATCTGAGCATTGTGGCCCATGGATCATTGGAAAGCCTAGTGAGGGGTCAGAGGCAGATTGGGGTAACCGAGGTGCATGGCCACTGGCCTTTCCACCAAATTTGCTTCCCGGACTTCACCCAAGTCCAGTCTTAATCATTTTACTGACCATGTTGTTGTTCCTGGTGATCATCAGCACCTGGACTCAGCATCCTGTTGAAACTGTGGCAGAGCCCTGGTGAGTCTCCTTCCTGGGAATCTTTCGATCAGACCCGAGTTCCAAAGCTTAAAAGCCACGTCCTCGCTGTCTGGCGCCAGATACAGCTCTGACGCTTGCCCCGGAAGGCTTGCCTTCTGGAGACTCAGCCTAATTACAATGTATCCAATCACACATTCTGGCTTGCACAGGCTCAGTGGCTGTGGGCTTGTCCTCTGAGGTGCCTAGCCTGAAGCACTTTAGGGCTTAAAGGGGCGGGGGTTCTTTTAAAAATGGCGGGGGTTTTTGTGGTGGGGGTGCGGAACCTGTGCCTCTGGTTTTCTCCTTAGCTGACACCTCTAGTTTTGGGTAAGGATGGACTGCTTAAATTCAGTCACAGGGAGTAACACAAAGACCTTCTCAAACTCAGCAAGCCCTTGAGACCAGATAAATAATTTTATTAAATTATGCAAATGTCCTTCAAACAAAACGCCCCAATCTTGGTTGTGGTGCCTTGAAGAGCCTTGTATGATGGCAAATATGTGGGTAGGCCAGGGCAAGATCCTCCTGAGAGACTGTACTCACAACAGAGCAGAATTCCACTGGTATTCACAAGCTCATTCTGAAGGAGACCTTTCTCCACCTAGCTGTGCTTGACCAAGGTCCTAGGGTGACTGCATCAAAAATGAACCCTGGACATTGGCTCCAAAACTGTCTCACAGCTGTGAAGGTGAAAGACAGGAGGAGTAAGCAATTCTGGATTCAAAGAATCATTGCAGGACAGGGCAGTACTGAGGAAAAGTTAGAGAAACTCCCCAGAGTAGGTTATATTCACAAAATTTAAAAGACCTCTGAGCTCTGTCATTTCATGGTTTTTGTTTTTAATTGGATCATGGCAGAGTCTGGACAATGGCTGAGGTAATTGTTAGGAGATGGAGCTCACAAGACACTGGGTGTATTCTTTTATTTCTGGCAGTTTGCTCCCAGGACTTAGCAAAGAGTGATGCAGAGGGATATTCCTCTCTGATGGGTGACTCAGCACCCTAAAAGATGGATGCTTGCTGTGTAACCCAGAGGAGCTGTGGGGTGCACTATGGGAGTAGGTAACACAGGTAAACACCAAGGCCTGCAATGTTCCAATCTGTTATCTATGTGAGTCTGGAAACCAGCACCTGTCTCTGCCTTTACCCTTGGTCCTCTTGACTCTCCTGTCCCCATCTTGGACCTGGGGAAGGGACTCCACTCTGCTGACTCTTTAGGATGTCTGCTGCTAGCCAGCTGCTATCTAGTAGCCCAATCTTACATATTCCTGCAATGATAGGAAACCTGTACCCTAAGGAGCTTTTGTTATAGAACCGCACTGATTCACGAGCCCAATCTTATAAGTTATCTTCTGTGAGGAACTCTCCAGGATTGAAATGCATTAATGAAATCTTGTGGCTCTTTCTTGTTTAGTTACATGCTCAATACTTTAGGTCAGTGTTTCTCAACCTTCCTAATGCTATGGCCCTTTTATATAGTTTCCCATGCTGTGGTGATTCCAACCATTTTCATTGTTACTTCCTAATTGTAATTTTGCTACTGTTATGAGTCATAATACAATATCTTTGTTTTCCAATGGTCTTAGTAAATTTTTGTAGACCCCAAAAGTAAAAGGGGCTACAACCCACAAGTTGAGACCCACTGCTTTAGGTTAAGGCATGTGATTGTGGAGTTTCTACACCATTTTCCCATGGGACTCTGCTCATCATAGTTATTAGATGGGAAACCGACCTGCACACAGATTTTCCTGAGGAATGACTTGATCATCATGCACTTGTCCACACACAGGTGCATTCACAGTCACAACATTCACATGCAGAAACATCTGTAGCCAAAGCCTTCTCATCCCATTGTCCCATCCCCTAGAGAGAGGCTAATCTGCAGAATGTAAGAGTAGTTACAGAAATATGGAAAGCATAAAAGGAAAGTGGTCCAAAACGTTTGTTTCATAAAGCAAGTTACAGCTGTGAAGGGAAACATAAATAAATAAGTCTGTTTTGTTGATGAGTACAAGTTTAAAAAAAACTGAATCACTGCTTAACTAAAACCCAACACAATATTAAGTATACCTTAAGAATGATAAGATAATCAAATTAGCAATATTAGAAGCAATTTATCAGCTCTAAAAAGAAAAATAATTGTGGGATCAGTATCTATACCTGGTGCCTGTGCGGCATTTTGGAGCTCATTACCTATGATGGGACACCTTGCACAGCCTTGGTACAGAGCGGAGGGTCTTGGACCTTCCTCAACTGAATGTACCAGGCTCTGCTGACTCCCCATGGGAGCCTTACCTTTTTGGAGGTGGGGATAGGGAGGTAGGTCCAGGGGGGAAATGCTGGCTGAAGCGTGAGGAGAGATGAGATGGGGATCTGTGGTTGGTGTGTAAAATGAATAAAAATTTCTTAAAGAAAAGAAGAAACACAATTGACAGAATGAATTCTTTGATGAGCTTATATATGCGTAAGACATCACATACAGAAAGCATAATAAATGGGGAAGCTTTCCTAGATTTGAGTCATCTTCCACACACCCGTGGTCAGCATTGTTAGGGACATCTGACAATCGGTGAGCCAGCCGTGCCCAGATTGGCTCCCCCATGGGGCCTTTGTGGCTCGCAGGACAGGATACACTGACCCCTGCACTGCCCACTTAGTCACAGCTCACTGTGTCCTTTCTCTGCTCAGCACTCCATGGCCTGAGCTTTCAAGCCATCAAGTGATAATCATGTCTTAGGCAGGAAAATCAGAGGCTGCCACCTAGTTCATCTGAACCACAACTGCTCTCTCTCTGTCTCTCCCTCTCTCTATCTTTCCCCTCTCCCTCTCTCTTTTTTGTGTGTATACTGGTGTCTTGTGTAGAAATAAAGAAGAGTGAGCCCCGCTCTGAACCAGGAAAGGAATGGACAGGTCAGGGATCCTCCCTTCAGTCCTTCAACCAGCCACATGACTTTGGAGGGTTCTTGCTTAACCCCTCTGGTATGCTGTATCCCAGCAACAGGCCCTGAAGCATTCTTGCTGTATCCAGGCCATGGGTCCTGTAACTGCTTAGAGGCCTCTCCCTACATGGACTCAGTAAGGACTCTTCCTGCTGTTTGTAAGAGACACATGGTCGAGAGAGACAAGGGTTGATATAGAGGGAGGCAAGGACTGGGAGCTGCGTGGGCAGACATCTAGAAGGATCGTATCCTGAGGAAGAATAGGGTGGGGTGGCTGAAGTGAATTCCAGAGAAGGGTAGCTCTGAAAGAGATGGTAGAGGTATGACTGGGAAATGGTCTGGAGACGAACTGGGCTTTGGCAATTTTCTAGTGGAAAGGCGTCTAGGTTGGGGAGAAAGATGTACCAGTTATTAGCCTCAGTATGCAGTGGTGGCACATGCCTTTAATCCTAGCATTTGGGGGGCAGAGCCATGCAGATCATTGTGAGTTCAAAGCTGCCTGTTCTACAGAGCGAGATCCAGGACAGGCACCAAAAGTACACAATAACCAAAAAAAAAAATTATGAGTCCCAAGAAGGAGGTTGGAGCTGGGGTACCGAGCATTGCCCAGGAGAGAGCCCACTGAGAAGTCAGAAGACTGTGAAGCAGGAAGAGAGATGCTGTGAGCATGACTGACTGTGCATCAGTACAGAAGTGAGGCAGGCTGCAGCACAGTGGTGGGGATTTCTCATGTAAGTCAGCCTGGCCAACCAGGGTCCACTGTACACAAGGAAACCTGGGCCCTTGTAAAATCTCCAGGACCCTAAATGTGCCTTTGTGGGGCTCAAAGACCAGTAAAAATGGTTCTGCTGTGTAGATAGCTTACCACATAAACTCCCCTGGTGCTCTCTGAGAGGGGCCTGTTCTTCCTGGATGCAAGCTTAAGCTGGCATAACCAGCTCTCAGATAGTCCCCTGGAGGGGTGGTAAGAACATTCAACTTCTTCAGTGACGCTGAAAGGGAAAAATCAGTAGCTATCTTAAGAGACACTTCCTCCTCCCCTCCTCCAAAGGTATTTGCTGACCAGCAGTTTTAGAAGTGATCAAAAGTTGAACTTAAGGCTTGAACAATGAATCTATGTATCGTGGACTTGGCAAAACAAGATATGGGGAGTAATGGACTCAACTGAACAGAAGTTGACCTTAGAGGACAGTAGGACTTGAACAATAAACCTGAATGTATATATCCTGGGTTCAACAAAAGCAGGACATATGGAGTAAAAAAAATTATATCTTTAAGATACCCTGCATCCTGTTAGCCATCAGTAACCTCATGCTTATAGTTCAGCCAGTAACTTCAAAGAACTGCCTCACCCTAAGGCCCCTTGTCTAATCCCAAGCTGCACGTAAACTATTCCTATATAAACCCCTTCAAGTGAGTGCTAGGGTCCATTCTCCACTTCCTGTGTCGGATTTTGGATGGCATATCAAGATTGCTTATTTTGTTAATAAAAACCTCTGTGTGCTTGCATCAGATAATGGCTCTGTGGTGGTCTTGCTTGGGGGTCTTACAACCTGGGCACAACACCCACGGAGAGTGAAGAACACTTACTAGTAGAAATTGGTTATAATGACTTAGTGTGTGTTGATTTGGCTGTGATACTCACTGCAGAATTATGTCTAAACAAAAAGCTGGGAAGGGCCTTGATATCCTTCATTGGAGAATTTACTCCATAAGCAAAAGTCTGACCTGATGATAGATGATTTTACAGACCATGAACATCATGCTCTCACAAGTGCAGTCAGGGTGTTCTTTCCAAAACACCAACCTGACTCTGCTGCTTCTCTGCTCAGACACTGCCCACAGCTGCCCTCTGCCCTTCTGACTTTGCCAGAGCCCAACACTGCCCTTCTCTGACCTCATGTTCCATTTGAAGTTGTCACAATCAGTGTTCCTTGGTCCACCTTTGTGCCTTCTGGTTTTATTTCTAATTTAACTATGAGGCCCTGTTCTGTGCACACTTCCTTGCCTTCCTGTCTGTGTGAGCAGGTCTGTACTGCCACTAGTACCTCCTATTACTGAGTTGGGATCCCTGCGGGCCTCTGTGGATTGGCCTGTCTAGTGCTGGATGTGCTGCTGTGAGCCGTGAACATATGCTGGGAACAAGG